GTACTCGAGCACCACCGCCAGGTTGATGGGAATTCGTCCATGGCACCTCCTTTTCAACTCCTTTGAATTTGGGGCTGTAGTTGAGATATTTGAGCTTTTGAGATGTTAATCAGCTGCTCCTGGTTGTTAACCTTTATGCCATGGTTACTTATCAGAACAAATGTCCAAAGTAAAAAAGGTTTCAGTAAAAATCCTTCCAGCTGCTCAGCATCTGATACCAGAGGAACTAATCCATCCATCCATCCATCCATTATCTTTACCCGTTTATTCCGTTTTGGGTCACAAGGGTCGCCGGTGCCCATGTCCAGCAATCACTGTGCGAGGGGCGGGGTACACCCTGGACAAGTCTCCAGTCCATCACAGGGACACATAGAGACAAACGAGACAAACAACCATTCACTCTCTCACTCACACCTAGGGACAATTTAGAGTTACCAATCAGTCTAACATGCATGTTTTTGGTCTGTGGGAGGAAACCAGAGTACCCGGAGAAAACCCACGCATGCACGGAGAGAACATGCAAACTCCACCCAGAAAGGCCCCTGGACCGGGGTTTGAACCAGGGACCTGCTCGCTGAGAGGCAGCAGCTCTGCCAGTTGCGCCACCGTGCTACCGAGGAAGTCATCATCTGAAAAAATTGATTTACATCCAGAAAAAAGAGGAATTAAAGTTTTCAGAAGCAAAAACTCAGAATGAAAGTAACAGTTACTCCAACATGCAGCCACACCGAGCGGCGCAATTCTAGAACGAGACTCTGGCAGCAGCATTGTGGATCAACTGAAGTATTTGGACATCCAGATAATAAACCATTGCAATAGTCCAGTCTAGACGTGACAAATGCATGGACCCGTTTTTCTGCATCATTTTTAGATGTTTCTAATTTTAGCGATATTAAGCAGATGGAAGAAGGAGGTTCTAGTAATGCTTTTAATGTGGGGGATAAAAGACATGTCCTGATCAAAAATAACACCAAGATTTTTAACATTAGTCTCATAACTCATGTCATCTTATGATGAGATGATAAGTTTTGGACTTTTAACACATTTGAGGAATTTGTCAAAATGTTGCTGGCATGTACGCAGAAATGGTTGCATAAAAGTGGCGACACAAAACATTAAGTAAAAGTAAAAGAAAAGGCACACGTGTGTTTTTATTGTGTATTTTCAGACACTAATTTATTTCTTATTGAAAGTTCTCTGTTTTTCCTTTCTTTTTTTTTTTTTTTTTTTTTACAATAAAGCTCAAAGAGTGCATGAACATGGATAAAGATTTTAAATGAGCATGTGACCTAATCACCATCACCGGCTCAGAGTGACATTTGAGCATTTTCATATTCAGACATGGCACTGTTAGATAATCTAAACCGCATCAACCTGGCTGTATTGAGAGATTACTGTGGATTAAGATTTAGGAATCAGCGTCGTGCAGATTTCACAGTGTGGACCTTGATTATGTGAAGGTTCTGAGGGAGGATTCTTATTATTCTTTCTCAGCTGTCAGTGGTGCACGCCTGCTTTTCATCAGGATAACTTGAGATTTCCAGAATAATTCATTATGTAATATAAGAACCTTCAAAATCCACAGATAAAGGAAATGTTAAGATTTTATATAACCGTTTATAAGCCAGCTTTGTGAGTTTGTTAATAAAGATGACGGATTCTGCCAAGATCAAATCAGATGTGTTTTGTTTGGTCATCAGCTCTTGTTACCACGTCATATAAAATCAGTTTTATTTTCACAATGTAAAATGTTGCATCGCAGCTGCGGCTTCGAAAGAAATCATCTTAAATAAAGACACACATTCCATCCAGTTTTATTTATAGAGCAATTTAAAACTGCTCAAAGGGAGCAAAGTGCAGTGAAACACATTAAACAAGCAAACACTCGTACAAAGATTGAAACATAAAAACAAGAATATAAACTGATTTAAAAAGATAAAAATCAACATATGAAACAGCAGCAGAAGCCAAAGGGAAGTGAAGGTTTAGTAGCAGCTCATGTGGAGTCATGTGCAAAGGTTGTTCCATACGTTGGGTCCTTGCTAAAGTTCGATCCGTTCTAAGCTGAGATCTGGTTCTGGGTACGCTCAGTGGCAGCTGCTCAGCAGATCTCAGGCACTGTGTAGGTGTGTAAGGGCCCCCGCATACTGGGGCGTACTGTGTGTACTCTGGGAGCCGTGTGCGCTGTCCGCAGACGGTGGAGACGTCATATTCGAGTGCACACCCTGATGGGCTGCAGCGCAGCTCTGCAGGTAAAGGGCGTTTACCTTCGGGACACATTGAGGTCGCTGATTGGTCATTTGTTGACACGCCTCCTGGATTGATTGACAGGTCGTGTTGCTGATCCAATTCGTGAAAAAAAAAAAGAAAACGAGAGCTGCTGGTGGTCCTGGGTAGAGGCAGCGGTGTTCTGTGTTTATATGTTGTTAATAAAAAGTTATAAAAAATAAAAACAACAGGGAGCGCTGGCCCTGCAGCTCACACATCAGACCGGCCCAACTCCAGACTCCCAATTAGCTACACCGGGCCTGAGCGTACAGATTTTAATTCTCTCGTGCCAAATTCCTTCATTTCTCACAATGTCAGTCATGGCGTACACGGATGAGGAGGAAGACATCGTATCCTTGCGCTGCGACTGCACAGAGAGCGGTTGGTGTCGCATACACAACAGTCCATCACCGGACAGTTCATTGTGCGACACCGAGTACGCATACACGGTTGTAAACATTGATCTTTGCACAGACATGGCTTTCTGCTTCAAGTCCGCGTTGGCTCCACCTCGAGTACGCATGGACCTCCGAGGAGTGAAGTACGCTCGAGTATGTGGGGGCCTTAAGGGTGTAACTGTGGGATTCAAGCTCTTCCTGCAGGCTGAGTCCAGGGCGGCGCCAACAAGCAGCAGCTGGGATCACTCCAGGACTACAAGTCTGCAGAAGAGCTCCCTTCCCCGCTGGAGCATTACCTACTGGTATTTGTTCTATCAGCCTCTTTAAAGTTTCAGATTTAAGTGATTCTGTTTCCTCGTGTTCTTATAGAACCTGGTTCTTGAGCCTCCGGTCCTGGGTCCCTTTAATTAACTGGGTTTTTTAATGCCTGTATGAATGTTTCTGTTCAGTGGCCGGAGCAGATTTCTGTTGTAACTCGGTGTGTGCTACATAAATAAACTGAACTGAACTGAATGATCATGGGCAGACTGGAAAATAATCATAAAAAAGTTCAAGCAAAAAGAAAAGACACGTCCATGTTCAAAGACACGTCCATGTTCAAAGACACGTCCATGTTCAAAGACACATCCATGTTCAAAGACACGTGCACGTTAATCCAAAAACAAGGCGTCATTTTCAGCTACAGACTCTGAAGGGTCCAGTGGTCTTGAGGGTTTTCACAAAAGTCCAGACTGGAACTTTCTAAAAGTTGTAATACTTTTTGTCGTGATCATGGGAGAAAAAAAAAAAAACTTTTTTCAAAAATAGTCGTAAAATAGATATTTGTGGTGTTGTTTTTTTTTTTACTTAAATATGATTTATTTTTAAACAAAACAACTCAAAGAGTTGTTTTATTCAGTCACAGAATTAAACTGGACAGTGTTTGAACTGGAGCTGCCCAGTTATGAGTTTTGTTGTGCAAAGGTGCAAATTCAGTGAAAATAAACAAACGCACAAATTTATTATTTAAACTGAACTATTTGAACCTGTTTTTATTAATTAATTGATTAATTGATTTATTTAGGTGCCATAATATGACTTTTTTTTATTGAAATGATGCAAAAACAAACTGAATGAAACTGAATTATTTGGCTGATTCACCCTGAGGAAGATGGAGACACGTGCACCGTACGTGCACACCGGTGCTCTTGTTTTACACTAAAGCTTACTAGATTTTTTTTATTAACTGTATAATATTTATTTAATGTAAGCAGCGAGGACAGTTTTGATCCTTCAGTGTTTAGATGAACTTGTAAATATATATTTAAAGACATATAAGGCTCCCGGCAGAAGGGTGGGGCCGGAGCGGAAGGACCCGGATGCTGATGCTGCCGGATGAGGAGCAGGAAGCTGGGAGGATGCAGAGGAGGAGGAGGAGTGTGAGAGGAGAGCACGGCTTCAGCGGAGCATCATGAGGAGCAGCTCCTGCGGACTCCTCTCGACCTGAAGCAGCCTCTCTGTCCGCAGGAAGGAAACAGGTGCGTTTGTTTTATGTGAGCTTGGGCGCCGGCTGAGGGAGGGGGTGAGGCTGAGATACGAGCCGGCCGGGGCTGAGGGAGGGAGGGAGGAAGAGGGAGGACGGGGAGTCGCCAGCGGAGGATGCTTGTTGTTTGTAGAACCTGAACCAGCTGATTCTGGTGCACCCCCACCCCCGCTGCAGCTGTCCCGACCGAGGAGGAGGTGCACTGGCCTTCTCCTCCTGTTCTAACGCACCTCTTCCTCTTGTTTCCCGATGCAGGGCCGGAGAGGAGGAGGAGGAGGAGGAGGAGGAGGAGGGGGCGAGCCAAAGTGTGCACCGGATATTGGAAAAGCCATTCTTCTCCTCGCTGCTGCTGCTGGGATAGCTGCAGATTAGACTGGGAGGCCCGGCCCAGTCCGGTGCAGGAACCATGCTGGAGCTGAGGGGATGATGATGATGATGATGACAACGAGAGGCTTTTTGAGGACGGGGGTCCCTGGTATGGATCCGGGGGATGGACTCAGTCAGACCCCTCTCTGACTTGGATTGTTTGAGACTCTGCTCTGAGGAGAAATCATCCGTCCTGCTCCTCTGAAGGAGGTCTTCCTCTGAAGGAGGTCTTCCTCTGAAGGAGCTCTTCCTCTGAAAGCCCAGCAGAGTGGTGGGCCTCAGGTGAGCTCCCAACCTTAGTTCTTCCCTCCCTCCTCCCTCCCATTTGGCAGGGATAGAGGGATCTGGTCCTCTTTCTCAACTCAGACAAGTACAAGAGCTGGATCACGACCAGTCCTCCCCCTCCTCCTCCCCCTCCTCCTCTCCCCTCCTCCTCTCCAGCCTGTGATGCTCCTTACAGCGTTTCAGACCTAGTTCGCCTCATTTCAGGAATAAAAAAGAACTCATCTCTGGAAGGATGAGCAGCAAGGAGCTCACTGTGGGCCAGTCCAGCCAGCTTGTGGGGCCCTACCGGCTGGAGAAGACCCTCGGGAAGGGACAGACAGGTAGGGGCTCCTCCTCCACATTTAACGTTAACACTTAAATACATTTCACGCTGTTAAACATGAAAATCACTTTGCAGGCATTGTAGGTTTTTTCTTGTTCCAAGTCCTGAAGGGTTTAAAGGGCTCACTGCAAAGTCATGAAGACAAAAGAAAATCATCCATCCATCCATCCATCCATCCATCCATCCATCCATCCATCCATCCATCCATCCATCCATCCATCACTTTACCCGCTTCTTCCTTTTTGGGTCATGGGGGTCACTGGTGTCCATGTCCAGCAGTCAATGTGTGAGAGGCGGGGGACACCCTGGACAGGTCTCCAGTCCATCACA